GGTTTTAACAAAAGGTCAACAAAACATCCAATGCAGTTCTGAAAAATGTAACAATTACTGGATTATTGATTGTTATTATTTAAGAAAGTTGTTGGTTGCATTTCTGTTGTCACACAAGATCCCCGGTTCGATCTGGGGGTAAAACACAAATTTCCTTTGGGTTTGATTCAGGAAGGGCATCGGGGTAAAAACCACCAAATTAAACATGCAGAGCTACCTGCTGTGGGGACTTCTTCTGAATGAAGGAGCAGTCAACAGTAGCTGTTGTCTTCATACAGACAGCTCAACCTTTTGACACCTAAGGTCGACTTCCTGCACACTCACCAGATGCTGGTTTGACAAGCTCGAGCACAACAATTCAGAAAGGCATCTTGGGATTTCACTATGTCAAGGCTGATGAGCATTAACTATAATTTTTATACTGACTTTAAATTGTACTGGCAGCCAACAAAGGCCAACACTGCTGTAATGTGCTCCATTATCTTTCTACTTGTTAGACAAAAATAGCTGCAGCATTTTTAACCATTGAAGACATTATATAAAACTCATTATGTGTTACTTTTTTTTTTTAAGTCAGATTAGCATTTTAAAAAGCTGAAATGTGTCTGATCTTTAAGATGTTTCACAGCTAAAACAAATACAGTTGTGACTGTACATATTTAAAGCAGGTCTATAAAGCAGTTTTTAATATTCTCAGTCACTCACAAATGGCAGTAGAGCTGCCAAGTAAGACGTCTTCTTGCCATCAGGAGGAGCTTGGCCTTCAAAGATGGCTGTGGCCCATGCTGCTCCCAGCGATCAAACCACCAAGCCACCTGGGTGCAGTGCACCACCCACTCTGCCACCTGAGCCAAGTCTGCAGCATTAGGCAATAAAGACTCACAGGAAGAAAGAACATTGCTCACACTATCATAAACAGAAGGGTGGTGACACACTTGTGAAAACTCACACATTCGTTTCACAATCTACTTCCGCACACATTTGAACAGAAACACACGGTGGTGCCATGAAGGAGCAGCTGGCCAGGAAGCAGAGACCCAGGTCACGCAGGCCTAGGTGGCAGTGCTATAAAGTGACAGTGTGATTAAAGTCCTGTGTCGTCGTCAGGCCCGTTATCTACTGCCGCTAACAGGCCAGTGCCGATACGCTCTGACAGCCGGCGACTGCAGCTCAGGAGGTGGTGCTGATAACACCCAGCCTCAGCTCGTGCAACTTCCAGCCGCAGTGCGCAATTATGAATCATATGTTTAAGTGGCTGTCAAATACATTCACGTGCAGGACTGTTCATTATCATGGCTCCAGATAGAAGCTGGATTGGCCATTTCCTGTTTATCGCTTTTAGATTATCATCATTACCTCTTAGTTCTCAGAAGAGGATGGATGAGGAGAGAGACACGGAGGACACTAATGGTCTTGACTTGATTTGAACCCAAGACGTCATCATGCCATTAGACTTGAGACAAACAGATACTTTTCTGTGAGAAGATTTTTAAATGTATTAATATGTACTCACTTGTCTTTTGTGTCAATAATTGGATTAAAATGAAGCTCTCTCAGAATGTTCCACATCTCAGCACATCCTAAAAGAACAAATTTGTTTATTTTTTTTCCCCAAACATTTATATTTGTTCGCTCTCTGATGCATTGCTGCTTCACCACAATCCATTTGTACTCTCTTTCAAGCTGTGAGCAGTTTCTTTGAGGAACACGTTCTGTGACAATAGACAATCGACTCTATCCTCAATCCAGTCCACATGCACGATTTTTGAGTTCTTTATATGGCAAAAAACTGTCAACGTGTACGGCATGGATACTAGAAAAGCTGAATCTTCCAGTGTGACACCTCACTACAGAAAAATTCATTTTTCTTTTTCTTTCTAAAGTTTAACTGAATATTTACTCAGTAACATAAGGAGTTAAGAAAACGGATGATAATGATTTGCCACCTGGTGAGTTATTGTTAGACTAACAACTGATTTTGACTTCTGCAGTGAATCTTGGCCGCCGTGAGTGGTCGCCATCATTACCATCATTAATGCTTCTGCATGGTTTTTTTATGTGTTAATTACCTTGTGCTCATGTCACAGTGTTTTATACCAGCCACTATGTCTTTGTACTTTCCATCACAATCATTCTAATAGTTTCAGCAATCTCCCCCTTAGGACTTTGCTGACATCTGTGAGTCCTTATGTTGAGGCTATCGCTTTTATATCGAGGCAATCCTCTGACTGATGCATTCAAAAACTGTGGCAAAAAATAACACTAATTTCATAGGAGGAATCCACAGTACACAATCGCAATCACAATAGGTGTGGGCTGCATTTAGAAAATGTGTCACATTTCCATGGATGTGCTAGTCAGGCCCAAAAATGCAGCCAACAGAGTGCCTGCAGTCACCTGATCCACAACAATGCATCCAGGTTGCTGCTGTCTGAGGGCGGAATTATTTTGCTGAAAAAATAGCCCTAATCTAGGAGTGATTCGTCTTTTCTGAAGCGTAAAACATTTGGTGTCCTGGACGTTGTGAGCCCGGAGGCTGTAGTGTATACCATGAGATTTTAAAAGCTTAGCTTAAAGGTGTGCTACACATGAATAGTGCTAATAAAAGCTTTACTGTTGTAGAATGACAAGTAGATGGTTTAAGGACTTGAGTCTGTTTAACAAACAAGGGAAACGACTTTGCAGCATGCTGAAGAAGAAGAGGAGCCTCAGTTAGCATATATCTGCGAGGCTCAGATACAGAAACAACATTAAAGAGGGTCTATACGTCCTAACTTAACTATAACAGAGAAACAGTATACACTTAGTAAATAAGGGGACCCAACAACTTTAGAAGATTTTGAATTTCTCATCTACACTTCGCATATAAACAGAGTCTGCTCAGCTTTAGCACATCGTTGGTTTCCTAATATCTTCTTATGTTTATCAAAAGAAAGACCTAAACAAAGACAAAAGCAGGAGCACAACCAGCAAAAAGTGAGTGTTAATAAAGCCAATAAGGAAAGACTACAGTCTGACTGCAGTCCAGATAAATACAGAGTCCAATGTACAAACACATCAGAAAATGCATGGAACAACAAACAGACAAACTGATAGAGGGAGAGACAGGATTAGGAAGGCAGAGAGATGATGGATGAAACTAATGAGGGCGGGGCACAAAAGACAAACAGGAAAGATAAGCATCAAAGACGCGGGAAAAAACTAAAGACTAAGAACGTGGCGCATTATGCCAGGCGCTGTCTCACACTGTGATCCTGGTCGTGACGTAGTCTGCACCTCCTTTTGACCTGCTCCTGACTTAAATCAGCTTAATTGAGGTGGTCTTCACTGTAGCTCCATTTAGATTATCATAACCGCTTTTCTAATTACCCCACAGTTTAATTTCCTCTGTCCAGAGATGACTGAGCTTCCTGACAGGCTGAGAGACAGTTACACGGTTGGCTGGCTAATCAGTCAGCGCTGACGCCTCTCTCCCCTTGATCAAGTAAGCAAGTCGAAGCTGGGACGGCACGTCTCCTAGGCTGCTTGCGGCAATCTGGATAATTAGAGTTGTGTTCGATCAGTGTTCCATCTTTGCCAAGCTGATGATTATCCCCGCATGCAGAAAGCAGTGACAGTAAACCAGCAAACACAGACACGCACAAATTACAAGGTAACGGCAGACAAGCTGCTGTGGTATTTTAAGAGTTATAATATTGCTGTAGACATTAATAAATGTAGTTTGCATGGATAAGGGAAGGAAAGGACCATGTTTTTTAATAGATATTTCATGTCTGAGTGAAATAAAGAATTTCAGAGCAGTGCCTTAGTGTATTATTTCAACATAACGGCAATTATCCCCTTCGCTACCTCTGATTACATTAAAATACTGAAATAAGTGCAGCAAAGTTTGAGGCAAGCACAAAAAAATGATCGAAAAACATACAGATGAACCTCTCAGTGCTCATCACGTTTTCATTTGACGGGGTTCTTGTTACACATTGAGTTTGGTCTGTGATACCAATCAGCAACGACTGAAGTGCTGCATCTCACCCAGGAGCATTATGTTGCGTAATGAGATTCTTCTCCCCGAACATCCCTCCCTAATCCCACGCTTCTATCTGTGCTTTGTGGGCCTTCGCAACAGCTGAGCCAAGATGAACATGGATGCTCTACATGAAATTCAGTGTTAACCCTGCCATCATGAATAACGGCGAGACAATGGAGCCGAAATGGAATGGATGCTACGCCCATTACCAAACATGTTAATCCTCTTAAGAAGTTAAGGCAGGTCTTGATGACATTTGGGCAAGGCAGAGGTATAAAGCGCTGCAGAAATGAGCAGAGACTAATCTGAGAAATTAGGTTCATCCTAAACAAAAGCAGGCCTCGAGCTTTGATCCCATTTTCATTAACCTGCAATTCTCTTTGGGGAATTGACAGGAAAAAAAAATAACCAGGTGAGCCTCTCTTTAAGTTGCGGTTTGCAGTTTTAACACAGGTTGTAGTAAAATATCCCTAAAAACTTTCACTGATCTGCAACTTAAATCAATTCACTGCTTTTCAGAATGTGCCAAGACGCTGTCGGAGAAGTTGTGAGACCAGCTGTGTCTGGGGGTGCTTAGAAAGACTGCCAGAATCATGCTACCTCATTAACCAGATTTCTCCCAGACCAGCATTTGGCTGATGCCTATAACCCAGGCACAGCACACTTCTAAGGCGCTGTGTAAGAGCTCATTTTTCAAAAAATGGCCCCCAGTGCCATGCAGAGCCTCTTTAGAGGCAAAGTTAAGTAACTCACTTTGATGAAGCCTCGTGAGAGGGAAGATTTGAGACGAGAAAAGCACAGAGCAATGAACAGACCATCAGTACTGATAAGATCAATATTATAGCAACAAACAGAGGGGTAGATGTCAAAGTGCTGAGCAGCAAATCTGTCAGAGTGAAAAAGTGGAGGTCTGCTGTGGAATTCAGTGATGCTGTGCCAAAAACAAAAACAGGGCAACTGCAGTTTGACTCACCTGTCTCTTCCAGTCTCCTTCTTAAAGACCATGTCGCAGTGGTTCATCCTGTCCTCTGTGGTGACAAAGATGCGGGCATGAGGGTAGTTTTCCGACGCCTGCCGCAGCATGTTGTACACAATGCCTTTCCCGTCTTTCCTCATGTTCCGGAGCGGCCCCCACACAACGTAGACCGTGTCGTTGGCCTGGCCGAAGAAGTACTGGGGCTTCTGCAGCAGCAGGGGAACTCTGGTATGAGAGACGACCCTCAGAGTCGTGCGTCGGCCCACATCGTTCTCAAACCCCCGTGTGGGTGCGTTGTTCATCCGCCAGATGCAGGGAGAACGATCTATCTGCGGCCCGGTGCCCTGGCCCAACATCTGACCAGAGCTGGACACGATGCTGCACAGTTCGCAGTTCAGCTTCAAGGGCTGGAGGAGAGGAAGCAAGTCCATTAGAACTTTAAGGGCACTTGCAGAGCACCTGTCAAGGCTACTTAGTTTTTGCTTCCAAATTTAGACTTCCAGCCTCTCCTATCACACATTTTCATAGCAAGGACCAAAGACCAAAATGAATCAACAATGATTATGGCTAATGAAGGTAACAGACAAATAAGAAGCATCTATGATCTATATCTTACGTATTTTCAAAGAGCATGCAGCTGAATTAGTGCATTTTAACTACTAAAAACAGCACAGTCCATAAGATCATTGTGAAACAACACATACGCTGTCCATGGTCCTGAAATTATTCCAGTTCAGTTTATCTAATATTTCACTGTTTATTAAAGTGTAATAAAACTTTATTGAGGAAAAATGTGTTTTTAAAATTTATTAACATAAATAATTCGATCAGAACAAAAACAAACAGCACCATAAAACTACCAAACCAATTCAAAACATCAAAATAAAATATGGGCTGCTATTAAGACTTTGTATTCCTGACATCCATCCAAGGCCTGATTATTTTCAGGATAGGGTTCAAAGTCAATGCCGCCATCTTGTCATTTTCTTCATTCTTCAGTCATTTGGCTTTGAACCCCACTGTGCACGCTGTGAAATTTGTGCCGCAGAAGCCACGTTTAAAAGAACCCAACACCAAAAATTGAATTTTGTTGCCACTGCTATTATCACTGGCGTGGCTCCTTTAGGTTTGAGGTTCCAGGTTCATTTACCTTGTGCAAATCTTAGGTTAAAAATCAATTTTAACGGTAACATAGGAAAGCCTGAACATTTTTAACTTCCAAAGAAGTTAAAGAAAGTTTGTTTAGGCCTGCATTGTTGTCTGATTTGTGTGAGTTAAATAATCTAAGAACGCTCAGCAACTTTCATCAGTTTCTATCAGTGCAAGTTCAGCAGGACTGTGGAACAGTTCATAAAATAAAGCCACAAGAAAGCAAGATAATTAGAACAGCCAGCAAGCAGAAAGGAAATTTATCACAGTGCGAAATACTGCAGCGCTTTATCACCGGCTTCTATTGCTGGAGAACAAGGTCTTTACATGCACCATCACCAGGAAGACACGAATACATGAAAACCGACAGGGAAATATATTAAATACACTGAAATTATCAAGGCAAAACAAAATAATGTCCTCCTACAGAATCTTAATGATGTTAGAAAACTCTATGATCGCTGTCTTACTGATAAATATTCTGCTGAAACGAACTCCTGAAAACACATTATACAGCAGGTTTTTTTAAAGATTAAAAGCACATTAAAAACCTTAAACACATGAAATGAGGAGACTTTTATATTCAGTCTTTAAATTGTGCAAACTGGCCACTTTATAAGGTACGCCTTGCTAGTACTGTGTTGGACCCCTCTTTTTCCCTGATGAACCGTTGACACAAGCAGGATGGATCCATGTTTTCATGCTGTTTACACCAAATTCTGACCTTACCATTAAGCTATTGCAGCAGAAACGAGTGGTTCCTTGAATTACTGCTGCCTTCCTATCCCTGTAGATCAGGGCCTCAAGGCCTCAAGGGCTGGTGTCCTGCAGGTTTTAGATCTCACCCTGGGTCAACACACCTGAATCAAATGATTAGTTCATTATTAGCCCTCTGGAGAACTTCAAGACATGTTGAGGAGGTCATTTAGCCATTTAAATCAGCTGTGTTGGATCAAGGACACATCTAAAACCTGCAGGCCTGAAGTTTCCCACCCCTGCAGTAGATCATCAGTTTCTGAACTACTCAGATCAGCCCATCTGGCGTCAACAACCTTGCCATGTTCAAATTCATTGTGCCTAATAAAAGGACCCACGAGTGTACATTCCCTTTCATTAAATTAAATGAGTTTTAAATACTGAATAAGTGGTTTCCTTCGAAATTATAATGCATTTGACGCAGTTTCGTCTTGTTTTGTTAGAGTTGTGATATATTTTATATGTGTTCAGTAATATTATTAAAGTGATGTTTTGGCAAGAGAATTTAAACAAAATGCATTTGGTGATTATTCATAAAAAAAATATTAATCAGGGTTTTACGGGCCTCTATAATTTTCTTTTATTCCCCAAGACTGATGTCACACTGCCCAGAACTAACATAGATTAAGTTAATTGAATATGGGACCTCAGAGGTTACAGCTGCGAGGATGACAGAGAAGCAAGCAAGCTGTGTCATTTATCTTACTGTTACTGTATATATATATATTTTATATATCTTATTATATGTTACAGGAGCAAGGGGATTTGTAATGAATCTTCAGTAAGAGCCCTTAGCTACGCTTTGCCAACCGAGGAAAAAAGCCCTCACTGAATCCAAAATGGGAGATTTACCTAATTGAAGCTAATATGCTTGGTTTGTTTTGATGAGATTAAACTTACTTAAGTAAATGAATGCGCGGCAAAGTTGGGAAAAGAAAACGCACTGTGTCACGACTAAACCCTGTTCATCATTTGCTTAATGGAGAATAACTGTAATGTCACTGGTCTGAATGCAAATTGCATTTTTGCTGCACTTTTAATGCACTCTGGTTTCGAACGCAAAACTCTTTGGCATTTGATCAACAAGCACAAGAGTTTTAGAGTGCAAGCACAAGACAATCCACTAAAAACTGTTACAGCTCCTGGCTTATCAGCACTCACAACACGCTTACCACACAAGATCGGTTGCTGCAAAAGGGAACTACACAAAACTACCATTGGTTTTCTTTTGTATCTGACATGTTTCTTTCATACATAACTCCAGCTGACGCTGCTGGTATTGCCTTGTCTTTCATGTATGGATTCAATCACGGGTTAAGAAAGGATTTCTGGACCCAGTCTCCATTTACTGTTTGGTTGAGATACACATCACCGCAGCCTTGAGCCGTCAGCAGCTCGTCCATCATCACCCCTCAGCCTAGCCCATAACTTCATCACGCCTTTTAGCACACACAGATTGGCTGGGCTCTGTGGGGAGCACTGACTGGCTAACTGTATGTGAAACATATGAGTTTGTCACTGGAAACCTACCAACAAGGAGCCCCTGAGCAAGGCATTTCACCATACTTCTGCTGCAGTGTAGCTGCTCAGTGACAAAAAAAAACAAAGATTGAGGTTTTGGTTTTTAAAAGGCATGTGAGCAGTTTACAGTCACACAAATAAAACCAGCAGTGAACATTATTGTTTCTAATCTCATTTACATGCATTACAGAAGAGTGGAAACCTCATCTAATAACTACAAACCCCGTTGGAACACTTTTTATTCAGTATGCACTGGAATCTGGCTCCCAATAAATCTGAGTTTTACGTCCTATAAATCAATAAAAATGTTACGGCCTCCTCCTCTTCCTCTCCTCGCTTTGATTCATGTTTCAGTTCCATGTTCACGACGGCTCTGTTTCAGTGTGGCCTGCAGTAATCGCAAACAGAGTGCACTTTTATAATCCGAGTAATTCGGGCACTCTGATAAGTACGAAATCGACTCACCAAAGCTTTAGATTTTTAATGCATGAGCGTGTTAAAAATAAAGTGGGTTATTTAAAAAGCAGGCTTAATGCCGGGGACACAGCCATCATTAAATTATAGCACTGGGGTGTGAACTTAACCTTGGCTTGTTCATTAAAATGCTCTGAACACGATTAATTAATAAGCAATAATTATTACATTAACTTGCCAAATATTTCATTGTAAGTCTCTGGGACTTCGAAGTCTTTCTGCTTAAAAAATTAGCTTCAGCTGTCTCCATGGGGGAAAGTGGTTCATTTCAAATGCTTCTCTTGGGGCGTTTACATTAAAATAAAGGAGAAAAGTACAGTTCACATTTGAAACCCCTTCTCAGAAACAAATGATTAAGAGGTACATTAACGAAACATGAAAATATCCCCACGTTTAGTTCTGCACGAGCTATTTATGAGTTCTTTTAATAATAACCACAGGTCGTCCAGTGGGAGGCAACCTTTTTTGAAACTTTGATTACTTAGATTCTTTGTAGTGATTTATTTTTTTATTTGTTCAATTAATCTTGAGTAGCTTACAGTTTGTTTTATATAATGCAAGTATAGGACCAGGTAAAGTTCTGTGGATGTTTTGTTTGATTGTTTTACTGCTTTTATTCTTTTGTTTTGTTTTTATACATAACTGATGATGTAGTGCTAATTACCCAACATTTTACTTTTAGCATGTTAACCGAGTGAAACGGCAAAAGTGAGGTGGTGACCATAATAACTATAATAGCTTTTAGCATAGTATTCTCACTGTGAGCATGCAGTCCCTGTGTTTGTCGACTAATTGTGCTTTGAAACCTCAAGTCTGACCTTTGGCTGTTGCCATCTTGGGATTCTGGAGCTAGAAGAGGCATGCAAAGGGTAGAGTGTCTAGGAGATTACTCACGGGCATGGTTTTCAAATACATGGCCTCCACTTACTAAAGCATACCCAGTTTTATCATTTCATGGCTCACTCACACTACAGTGAAAGCAGGACCACAAACTCCTTGTGACAAAGGAAATTGGATGGTCTTCTAGTGATTCAATTATATTTTTTCACATTCAATAACTGGTTGGAAGGAGTTGTGGTCACCAGCTAGTTGCCCAGAGTTTAAGCATGCCACACTCTTACCCCTTTTAATCAAGAGGCGATTGCACAGGCCACCCAGAGGGAGGCAACCTGTCTCCAATCAAAGACTTAACTATTTATAATACATCACAGGCAGACTGGCAAAGGTTTCCAAACAGCAAATGTGCCAATACATTTGCTATCGGTCTGTGCACAATTCGCCTGTGACATGTCTCTTTGCTTAAGGGGACTTGACTTAACTAGTTTCCAACTGGTTGTATTCTGGTTATATTCCTCTTTAACAGTAAGGCTGCCAAGTACCTGTCATTTTGCAGTCAAATCGTCATCTTGCACCAACTACATTACTATTTGTTGAGGAATTTCTGAATTTCTGCTTTAGATCTATGAGAGTCTGGTTGAATTCTGCATGTAAGTAGTTAATGTGAATT